GTCGGAGGTGCCCATCGCGTCGCCGATGCATCAGCGGTGCAGGTGTCCAGGTGTCCATCCCTCCCGCCGGCGGCGCGGCCGGCGCTGGAGAGCCCATCGGGGCCAGGCCGACCTCCCTCCCGCTATCCCTCCTCCTCATCCCGCTCCTGCTCCTCCTGTACCTGCTCCTGCTGTTATGCTAAGCTATGCGCACTGGAAGAATCCAGAACACGGCTAGCCTTGACTGCCCCTTTGGGCGTCGATCTGGCTAGCGGGGCCAAGGACTTGCTCCTACCGTTGCTCCACAATTACTCAATATGAATACTACTCTCCTCCTTACCCTGATGACGGGTTGGGAGTGTTCGCCCCCCCCCCGCGTACTGTTTTTTACAAAAGGATTCCCCAGAATTGGGTTTTCGCCTGCATTTTTTTCAAAATGCTGCTCTCGCTGAGGCGACGGCCTCATTTTCGGGCCCCGCTCGTTCCGAATCGTGCTCCCGCTGCAGCGCTGGCCTCATTTCCATGCTTCCGCTCGTTCCGAATCGTGCTCCCGCTGCAGCGCTCCTCCTCCTCCTCCTTCCCCCTCTCTCCCTCCCTGCCTCCCCGGATTTCCGGCGGCCTGATCCTTTCAGCCTCGGCGGGTTCGGCATCCAGTGGGTCATCCTCGGGCCCCTGGGGCCACCAACGATGGATCCGTGGCGGAAAGAGTGCTCACAAGGGAAATCGTCTGGAGGTCTCTTGCCGGGGACGGACTCCGCAGAAACAAATCATCGAATGTCTAGATCCATCCCTCCCTCCCTTCCGTCATCATCCTCCTCCTCCTTCTCCTCCCTCCTCCTCCTCCTCCTCCTCCTCCTCCTCCTCCTCCTCCTCCCTCCTCCTCTCTCCTCCTCCTCCCTCCTCCTCCTCCTCCTTCCTCCTCCCGATCATCATCCAAATCCTTCTTTCTTCTCCTCCTCATCCTCCTCCTCCTCCTCATCCTCCTCCTCCTCCTTCTCCTCCTCCCCCTTTCCTCCAACGCCACCATACCGGAGAAAAAACATTCAGAGCCTTTTTTGATCTTACATGAGACCCCTTTGCACTTGCTCCTTAGGTTTACAGTTTCATGAAGGCCATGAGGGCCTAGGGCTACAGGGCTATAAGGCTATAGGGCTATAGGGCTATAGGGCTATAGGGCTATAGGGCTATAGGGCTATAGGGCTATAAAGCTATAGGGCTATAGGGTTACTGGACTACAGGGCTCTATGGCTATAGGGCTACAGGGCTACAGGGCGACAGAGCACCCGGGCACCCCCGGGGGCACCCCTGGGCACCCCTGCAGGGCACCCCTGCAGGGCACCCCTGCACGGCACCTCCGGGCACCTCCGGGCACCCCCGGGCACCGGGGCACCGGGGCACCCGGGCACCCAGGCATGCCCCCGGGCACCCGGGCACCCGGGCCAGGTGCACCGAAAGCGGCGGCGCCCACCGCACCGGGGCGGGCACCGGGACGGGCACGAGGCGGGGGCACCCCCCATCTCCCCGACAGGGGGGTGCGTCCGAGGAGCGCCCCCTAGGGGTGCATCACCGAGCCTCTCGCGAGCGGCCCGAGTGCCGAGCGGCCCGAGCCAGGGGCCCGAGTGCCAGGGACCGCGTACCTCGCGAGGTTACCGGGGCGCCGCGCCTGCAGCGGCTGCATGGACGACGCCGGGCCGTCCTAGCTCACCGAGCATCTCTCTTTCTTCTGAGCGCCCCGGCTTTTTGGGGCGAACTGCTGGGGTTCAGTCGGGCGTGTCCCCCTACAGGGGGATTTTCGACGAAAAGCGAAAAATACTCCAAAAATACTCCTCAATGGTCCAAAAATATTCAAGAAACACTAACAATAGTCCCTGGACTATTTTTTGACTATTTTTGAATACTCCTCCTGTAGAGGGACGGGCCCGATTTATTATTGGGGGCGAGAAATCGCCTGCGACCCATGGGACCGTCCAACACCTACCTGAGACCAAAAAGCAGTCGCCAGATTAGATTCCATGGACGAAGCGAGCCTCGCTCTGCAGGCGGGCGTTCGCGTCCCTCCACCGCGCTGCTCAAGGGGTGCGCCAGCGAACTCTCCCATGCGCGGGGCCGCACTGCGTAACTACGTGATGCGGCAGTGTACAGTAGGAGCTCGACCACAAGAAAACTTCCACAAGAAACCCAACCCTGAGACCCCAAGACGTCCATTGATTTTTGGTGTGGGAACGTCTCGCTTTCCATCGCAAAACCATCGAAACCAAAGAAACCCCGGGCACCTTGGAGGCAAGCAGGGTGTTTCTTGGCATTGGTTTCCACTGTATGGACGAGTGGCTGCATGAGGCCAGCAGGGAACACACCCGGCGTTGAAGATGATTCTGGCGAAGAGCAGAGGGAGGGGGCGGATGAGGATGAAGACGAGCGGAAGGAGGAAGACGTGGATCTGTGGCAAGAGGCGGAGGAGGGCGATGGGTGGGCGGATGAGGTGTATGATGACGGTAGGATCGTGCGGCGTCGGCACGCGCGAAGGTCTTTGACACCGCGTCATAGTTCAACCTTGAACCGATCGCGGCCCCGATCGTTCAAGGTTGAATTCCGTCGGGTTATGTGGCGTCACCGTGTCCCTCAGTGCTTCCACGTCGTTCCATCATCCGGAGCTCAACCTCGAACGCCTTCGCCGGCGTTGCTGGCGCGCCGTCGCCGCATGAACCTACCGCAACATGAGAAGGAGAAGAAGGAAAGGTCGAGCGTGCCCATGTCGTTGAGGGATGAAAAACGACCCTACCCTGGGTTACAAGTGCGCGGTCTGTAAACCTCCTGGGAACCCCCACGGCCTAGAGCCGCCAGGACGCGGCACATCACGCAGGGTTTACCCTGTCAGCCCACAGGAGTTTCAGCGTACAGCGCCTCGTGAACCAGGGTAGGGGCGTTTTGTTCTGCCCTTGATGTCGGGCCAGACGAAGAGGGGAAGAGCACCAAAAAAAGGGTTCGCTAATCAGCTCACGCCGCCGGCTTCCCCGGCGCCTCTCCCGGCGCCGGAGGCGCCAACCTATCGAGGAAAGTGCTGTGCCCAGCGGCGGGGCCGAAGCCAGCGGCGTGCTGCAGATTTCGGACCAATTTGTCCCCGGGTCCCTTCCCTTTGGCCCGCCGCGGCGATCATGAGCGCGAGAAGAAGATAGGGAGGACGACGACGGCGGGAAGCAGCAGGGAACTCGACAAAAGAAGCAGTGACTCGCATCTTGCCGCACTCCGGGCGTGCCAAAAACTCCTCTGCCAAACGTGCACACTCACTCGACCCGATCGCGAAGGCGGCGACAGTGGCGCTTCGCCCCGCTTGGCACTTGAACAACTACGCACCACTGCAGCTTTCCTGCGCACCGCCAAAATCGATTACGGCAGGTTCGCGTCGTGCCGACCCCGGCGTTGGTTTCTGACACTGCGTGAATCGTTCAACCTTGAACGATCGGCGGCTTTTCGACCGCCCGATCGTTCCATATAAGCCGATTCTGGGCCACTGGCGGCGTTCAACCTTGAACGCCCTCGGCGGGGTCGCCGCGGTCGACACGACGCGAACCTACCGTACAGAGCAGCCCCTGTCGCCCGTGCTGACACACAGTGCCGCGCTTGTGCCGACGGGTCCTTCATGAGCAGATGCTCCACGTACCTCGGCGCACCACCCTACATTCCCCTCCCCCGCCGACCTCTTCCGGGGTGCTTCCCTGGCCCTCCTCCTCCTCCTCCTCCTCCTCCTCCTTCTCCTCGTCCTCGTCCTCGTCCTCCTCCTCCTCCTCCTCCTCCTCCTCCCCCTCCTCCTCCTCCTCCTCCTCCTCCTGTTCCTCCTCCTCCTCCTCCTTCTCCTCCTCCTCATCCCTGGAACCCTTCCAGCTCAAACACGCACACGCACGCACAAGTTCGAGCACACGCGCGCAAGTGTCACGCACGCGCACGAACGAACGCACTGGCGGCAATGAGCTCCCTGAAGGCAAAAAATCGCTGAAGGCCAGAAATTCTGGAAGGCCATTGTGACAACAAGAACCTGTCCGGCCACAAGTTGCTGCCTTCAGCTCTGAATTTCGACGTGGACTGCGGGTCGCGAGCATTGCACTGCGCCCGCCCGCGCGAGGAGACTCCGTTCCTGGGAGCTCTCCCTGCGCAGCCAGCCGATCGCCCGCACCTCCTTAGAATCCTGGCCGGAGCCCCGGGATCGTCCCCAGGTGATAATGTTACATTGCTGGAGCGGGGTGCAGCAAAATCCCGGCGTAAAAAGCCATGGCTCTCCGAATCCCGCGCCACTGCGTGAGTGTCCCGGGAGCTCCCGAAACCCGCATCACGTCGCCGCGCGAAGCCTTCGGTGCGCTGATGAGGGACACCGTCGGCCTCTCACCATCCCCGCCGACAGTTCCCATCATCTATCTCTGCTGTTCCAGTACGTCCCTCTGCCGTGAGATCCCAGATCAGAGAATCTCCATTGCTGCGCCGGACGTCCTCGCAGAGATTGAGCAGGGACCGACCGTCCCGGCATTCGTTTAGTCCTACCACGACATGTTCTTAGAACCCCAAAAAAATTCAAATAACAAAAACAATGTTCTTATAACAAAAACCCGATGTGATAAAACAAGCCAGTCCCAATCAGGCATGTTCTCAGAACATTTCGCGGTTGCCACAAAAGATTATTAGAACATTGCTTGGTAGGCCTATAGGCACGCTAGGACGCTTCGCCACTGCTTGAAGAGATCAGTGTCCGTGACGGTTGCGCTGCGTTCCTGGAGGGGCTCGGCAGGATCCTCCAGTGCCCTGTGCTGACAGGGACGTGCGGTATCGCCATCTTCACTGACGCATCCGTGTCATTATCCATGCCAGCCCCGACGACGCAGGCGCCACTGAGGCTCGCTCGGAGACAAAATCGTGCTTGAGCCAAAACAGCGCCGGCTCAAGCCAGCGGCTACGGAATCCAGCTACCCGATGCGTTCGAATTCCCAGCGGAGGACAAACAAAAGGACAAGAATAAGCCTTCCCCTGTCTGATCCAAACAAAGGAGACAGAGCTCACGTTTCGAGTTTCTGTTCGTTCTGTCGTGAAGAAGCTGCGCTGTCGCCGCGCGGCGGCGGTGGCTGCCAACGCGCAGACCCCTCCTTTCAGAGCATGCGACTCCGCGTGAGCCTGCAAGTTCACAAGCAGGAATCGGACAGCGGCTGCAGGGGGTGAAGGGGAAGGGCGGGGGGAGGGCGCGGCGCCATCGGAGAAGCACCCTGCGGAGGTGTGCCTCGACCTCCTGGCCGCTCCGGGTCGCCCCAGGATGCGCACAGGGACGCCGCCCGACGGCCAGGAGAGCCCCCAGTGGGCCTCCAGGGCGGCCCCGAGAGGCCCCGAAGAGGGCCCCGGAGCAGAAGACGGCCGAACATGGCCCCAAAGCTCTCCAAGGCTCCCTGGAGGGGCCGAGGGAGGGGAGGGGGGGGATCGAGGAGGGGCCCCGAGGAGGGGAGGGGTCGAGGGGAGGGGAGGGGTCGAGGAGGGGGTCGAGCGCAGGGCTCGAGGAGAGGGGGAGGTGTCTCGAGGAGGGGTCGGGGCCGGGCGCACCCCGGAGAGCCCCATGGATGCTCCCAGGGCACAGTGGCGGCAGGGGCCACAGGCCACTACATCGTGGCTGCAAATGTCTGGTCACGAGCACAGAAGCACCCTAGCGCACACTTTTCGATCCGCGGGTCGAGAGCGCACCTCTTCCGGTCGAAGCTAAGCGGGCCGCGCGAAGCCTGAATTAGGCAGAGAAGAGGAGGGAGGAAGCGGCGGAGCCTCAGAGCGAGGCCGGGAGGAGGCATAGCCTCGGATACAGGCGGTGCCGAAGCCGAAGTTCTTGCAAAGGGACGCCTTCGGCAGGAGCCGGGTGGCGCACACTGGCACACACACACACGCAATAGTGGGACGTCGAAGCACACATCTCCCCACGGATTTTCCCTCCAATCGATCTTGCTCATGCTTGCTCCAGCGGAAGAACCCCAACGAGTGACTGCCTTATAAGAACCGCCGACACTAGCTACTGGACAATAAGAGGACCATTGCTCAATGGCCAAATCAGAAGCCACGAAACGACGCCGCAAATCGTTATGTCTCCGATCGACCCCTCGAACCTGACTCACTCAATCCGGCATCCCTGTATCTCCTTCCATCGACTCTCATGCTCGCTCGATCGTCGCCCTCTCGAATCCCTATCCTCGATTCTCCTCCTCCTCTCCCCCGCTCTCTGGATTCCTCCCCCGGTATAATACCTCTCCCACGCCTCTTCCTATAACTCCTGCTCCTCCCTCCTTTCTGCGCTTCCTCCTTCCCCATGCAGGTACCATACCCTCATCACATCAAATCATCACCGTCTTCGTCGCCCACCGCCCCCGCTGCCGCTGTCGCCGCCGCCGCCGTGGTCGAAGAACCACACCATCGAAGCATCAGGGGGCACTCTGGCATGCTCATGGAAGCACATGGCCCAGGCAGTTGCCTGCAACCTGGCTCCGATCTCCCCTGAACCCCCTCCAATGACAGTCGGAGTGAATTGGCCGACAAGCCAGAGTGGGGAAGGTGAGGAAGAGCGTGCATAAGGAACGGGAAAGGGCACTGTGTAGGAGGGAAGCGCGGGAAGAAGAAAAATAAGAATTAGCCTGGCGAAAGACCCAACCATCTGCAGTTACGAGTACCGTCGTTGTGCGCATCGCCTTCGGTGGAGCCCCCTATGAGGCCACGCAACGTGTGAGGGGTGCCGAACTGGGAGGGGCGGACACATGCGGGCTGCGCCATTGGGACCTTCAGTGGAGCTCCCTGTGGGGCCACGAAACGCGTGAGGAGTGTGCCGAAATGGATGGGGCGGACGCATGAGGGCTGCGCCGCTGGGACCTTCGGTGGAGCTCCTTATGGGGCCACGAAACGTGTGAGGGATGTGCCGAAATGGATGGGCCGGACGCATGCGGGCTGCGCCACTGAGGCCTTCGGTGGAGCTCCCTGGTGGGGGGCACGAAGCGTGCGAGGTGAGTGTGTGTGTGTGTGTCGGCGGGCTGCGGTGTTGGGACCTTCGGTGGAGCTCCCTCTGGAGCAACGAGTGAGGGGTGCGCCGAATTGGGCGAGGCGGACGCATGCGGGCTGCGCCACTGGGACCTTCGGTGGAGCCCCTTGTGGGGCCACGAAACGTATGAGGGGTGTGCCGAAGTTTTTGGCTGGGACGCATGCGGGCTGTGCCACTGGGACCTTCGGTGGAGCTTCCTATGGGGCCACGAGACGTGGGAGGGGTGTGTCGAAATTAATGGGGCGGATGCATGCGGGCTGCGCCACTGGGACCTTCGGTGGAGCTCCCTGTGGGGCCACAAAGCGTGTGAGGGGTATGCAGACATGGTTGACATGCGGAGGGCAGCAGGCGGGATGGGAGAAGAGGGGAGGAGGACAGGAGAAGGAGACAAGGGGTACTGTCTCTTCAAAACGGAGACCCAACACCACGGGATGGGGACGCATGCGGGCTGCGCCACTGGTAACCTTTGGTGGAGCTCCCAATGGGCCACGAAGGGTGTGAGGGGTGTGCCCAAATGAATGGGGCAGGCGTATGCAGGCTGCGCCACTGGGACCTTCGGTGGAGCTCCCTGTGGGGCCACGGAACGTGTGAGGGGTGTGTCAAGATGGATGGGGCGGACAGATGCGGGCTGCGCCACTGAGGCCGTCGGTTGAGCTCCCTATGGGGCCACGAAACGTGTGAGGGGTGTGCCGAAATGAGTGGCTGGGGCGCATGCGGGCTGCGCACCTGGGGCCTTCAGTGATACTCCGAAACGGTGCGAAATGGTGACATGCGGAGGGTGGTAGGGGTGAGGGGTGTGAGAGGTGTGCCGAAATGGTTGACATGCGGAGGGCAGTAGCAGGGATGGGAGGAGAGGGGAGGAGGAGTGCGGAGGAACGCGGGACACTGTCTCTTCAAAACGAGGACCCAACTCCACAAGATGGTTAACCAAAATTGGCCTGGCGAAGGACCTGATCAGATGCAGTTGTGAGTATCGTCGTTATGAGTATCGCCTTCGGTAGATCTCCTTCTGGGGCCGCGAAGCGCGTGAAGGTTGTGCCCAATGGGGCGGGGCCGCCATGCGAGCGCTGCAAACGGGGCCTTCAGTGGAGTTCCCTGTGGGGCGACGAAGCGTGTAAGGGGTGCGTGCCGAAATGTGTGGCGGGGACGCATGCTGGGTGCGCCACTGGGACCTTCGGTAAATCTCCCTATGGGGCCACGAAACGTGTGAGAGGTGTCCGAATATGGGTGGCGGGGACGCATGCGGGCTGCGCCACTAGGGCCTTCGATGGAGCTCCCTGTGGGGCCACGAAACGTGTGGAGGGGTGTGCGGACATGAGTGGCTGTGACGCATGCGGGTTGCGCCACACGGGCCGTCGGTGGAGATCCCTATGAGGCCACGAAGCGTGTGAGGGGTGCAAAAATGGATGGCTGGGACGCGTGCGGGCTGCGCCACTGGGGTCTTAGTGGAACCAACTGTGGGGCCAGGAAACGCGTGAGGAGTGTGCCGAAATGTGCGGCTGGGACGCTTGCGGGCTGCGCCACCGGGTCCTTCGGTGCCACAAGACGTGTGGGGAGTGCCGAAATGAGCGGCTGGGACGCATGCAGGCTGCGCCACTGGGGCATCCAGTGGAGCTCCCGATGGGCCACGAAGCGTGTGAGCCGAAATGAATGGCTGGGACGCATGCGGGCTGCGCCACTGGTGACCTTCGGAAGAGCTCCCCTTGTGGGGCCACTGGGACCTTCGGTGGACCCCCCTTATGGGGCCACGAAACGTGTGAGGGGTGTGCAGACATGAATGGCTGGGACGCGTGCGGGCTGCGCCACTGGGTCTTCGGTGGTGCTCAATATGGGGCTACAAATCGTGTAAGGGGTGTGCCCAAATGGTCGACATGCAGGGGGCAACAGATGGGAGGAGAGGGGAACAGGAAGAGAAGGAGACGCGGGGCACTGTCTCTTCAAAACGAGGACCCAACACCGCAGGACGGTTGCGAACAACAAGACTGACACTGGACTTACTCGTGGCAGAGGGGGCACGCAGAAAAACTGGAGCTGCAGGAGACGTCCAGCAGCGGAGGGAGGCGGGGGATGACCAGGCCAGGCCGTGAAGCCGCCAGCACACAGGCGAAGGCCGAGAGGCTCCGAATGCGCTGACGTTCCCGGCCTGGCGGTCGCCGCGTAGGCGCTCGCATTGGCAGCGGCCTGGCCGTCTGAGCGGCGCGCTCCCCGATCGTGTTGGGCGTGCCCTGCTGCCCCGACTTGAGCGCCCCCAGGTCCATCTCGTCCAGGATGAACTCCTCCGCCGAGTCGGCTACGCGCAAGAGTGACCCTGGGCAGGAGTGGCCTCTGGTGCGCAGCCTTCGGTGGGCGCGGGGGGACCCAAACCCAAGCCTCCAAGCCGCTACTGTCACATCGCATCCAGCCACCTGGAGCCCGTTTCTTTATTGCTTGGGGCATGACGGTCGTCATGGCCCCCGCTCCCCCTCCCCCCCCCTCCCCCCCTATGACGTAACGCTCCCCCCCCCCAGTGCGCTCCGGGCACTGCCGCCGTGCGCATTGGGATCCGCGTAGGTGTCCTCGTAGCCGACATCTGGGGACCCCAACGGGCCCGCACCGGAGGCCCCTGTGGCGAAAGGCCACCCTTCCGCGCCGCCGAGCCCGCCGAGGCACCCGCGGGCGGGGGGCGACAGGCGACGCCCGCGGGCAGACCGGCGGGCGGCGACGAGCGCCGGGGCGCCGGGGCGACGCCCGGCAACGAGGGCGAAGACGAAGCCAGGACGAGCATACAGGGCAGCTTCTAATACATAGGAATTTTTAATTAAAAACTGATTAATCTATGAATAAGTTTATGCATGAACTCATCGTTGTTTTAATACTAAATCCCTGCATGCTTAATACATGATCCGCACGCGGAGCATGTATTAAAAACGGCACTGTACAGTGGAAGCCAGTCCACAAGAAACCTTCCGCAAGAAGCCCAACCCTGAGACCCCAGGACGTCCATTGAGTTCTGGTGTGGGAGCGTCACGTTTTCCATCGCAGAGCCATCGAAACCCAAGAAACCAGGGCACCCTGGAGGCTAGCAGGGTGTTTCTTTGCATGGGCCCCCACCGTAAATCCAGGTGAGGATAGGCCGAGAATCTCTGAGCTCTGGCGGCTCTGGATGAACCGGAAGACAGACGACACCATCTCACCTACGGCCCCACGGTGCTCAGCGTATATCACGAGATCTGTTTTTGCGTGGTGTACGCAACGGTACCCGATGGGCCGTAGCGCAGCATGGAGGGCCGTAGGTGGGGTGATGTCGTTTGTTGTTTGGTCGACTTGAGGATGTCTCGGGGGGCGCGGCCTTCTCAGAGCGTTCCCGAACGCTCTGAGAGCGTTCTGGAACGCTCTGAAACGGGTTCATCCTCGTCCCAGCCTCGCCCGAAGGATGCCGGGGACGGGCGACGGACGACGACGACGCCAGCGAGGACGTGGAGACTCAGGAGGGGCTCAGTCCGGACGGGGTAAGTCCGGAGGGAGGAGACCGGGCACTCTGTGTGGACTATGGGGCACTCCGTACGGACTTACTCCTCACGGACCTGGCATCCTCCGAGAGGCGACTCAGCGGTTCGCCCGGGGGGGGAACTGAGAGGGGCGGGCCTTCTCAGAAAGCGGCGGGGCTTCTCGGAGGCCCCCCAGGCCTTCGGAGAAGCCCTCTGTGGCTTCCGAGAGGAGGCCTTCGGAGGAGGCCTAGAGAGCTGCTCAAAAGGCCGGAGGGCAGCTGAGCCTTCTGAGAAGGCTCGCCCCTTCTGCCTTCCCCCCTGGGCGCGCCGACGAACGACGCCAACTCGGGCTTGGGCCCGTGGCCGAAGAGGGGACGGCAACGATCACCGAGGGCGAGGGCGCCGTGGGCGGAAGTGGCAGAGGGAGGGGCAGAGAAGAACGAGGAGGCCAGACTGGGCGGTGGAGGTAGAACGGACCCCGCCTGCCTGTCCAGTGAGCTCGGTCATCGCCGCAGAACTTTGGCTGACTCTCGTAAAACGTGGATGCAGTGGCAACCATCACGACAGCGACGATGACGACGACAACGACGACGACGACGATGACGTGGACGCCAACGTATACGACGACGTGGACGACGAAAACGGCGTCAACGGCGGCGACGTGGAAGAAGACGACGACGACGACGACGTCGACGACGTCGACGACGACGACGAGGACGACGACGACGACGTGGACGACAAAGAAGACGACGACGACGATGGCGACGACGACTTGGACGAAGACGACCACGACGACGACGACGACGACGACGTGGACGACGACGACGACGACGACAACGACGACGACGACGTGGGCGACGACGACGACGTGGATGACGACGACAACGATCGTCGTCATCAAACTCAACGTCGTCCACGTCGTCCACATCGTCGTCGTGGTCGTCGTCGTCCGCGTCGTCGTCAACGTCGTCGTCGCTGCCATCGCCGTCCACGTCGTCGTTGTCGCCAACGTCGTGGTCGTAGACGTGCACGTCGTCGTCGACTTGCACGTCGTCGTCGTAGCCGTCGCTGCCAATGTCTTCGTCGTCTTCGCCCACGTCGTCGTCGTCCACGTCGTGCACATCGTCGTCGTGGCCATCGTTGTCCACGTCGTCCTCATCGTCATCGTCGTCGTCCAGGCCGTCGTCGTCGTCCACGTCATCGTCCACGTCGTCGTCGTCGCCATCGTCGTCAACGCCGTCGTCGTCCACGTCGCCGTCGACCACGTCGTCGCCGTCGTCTTCCACATCATCGTCGTCTTCCACGTCGTCGGCGTCGTCGTCCACGTCGTCCACGTCGTCGTCCTTCCCCACGTCGACGTCGTCCGCGACGGTCTCGTCGTCGTCCACGTCGCCGTCATCGACCACGTCGTCGACCGCGTCGTCGTCGTCCACGTCGCCGTCGTCGTCGACGTCGTCGCCCACGTCGTCGTCCACGTCGTCATCGTCCATGTCGCCACCGTCGTCGTCCAGGTCGCCGTCGACGTCAACGTCGTGATCGCCCACGTCGTCGTCGTCGCCATCGTCGTCAACGCCGTCGTCATCCACGTCGCCGTCGACCACGTCGTCGCCGTCGTCTTCCACATCGTCGTCGTCTTCCACGTCGTCGGCGTCGTCGTCCACGTCGTCCACGTCGTCGTCCTTCCCCACGTCGACGTCGTCCGCGACGGTCTCGTCGTCGTCCACGTCGCCGTCATCGACCACGTCGTCGACCGCGTCGTCGTCGTCGTCGTCCACGTCGCCGTCGTCGTCGACGTCGTCGCCCACGTCGTCGTCCACGTCGTCATCGTCCATGTCGCTACCGTCGTCGTCCAGGTCGCCGTCGACGTCAACGTCGTCGTCGTCCATGTCGTCGTCGTCGTCGATGTGCACTTCTTCGTCCACGTCATAATCGTCGTCGTACGCGTCACCGTCGTCGTCCACGTCGTCGTCCACGTCGTCGACGTCGGTCTCGTCGTCCGCGTTGTCGTCGTCCACATCGTTGTCACGGACGTCCACGTCGTCGTCGTCGCCCACGTCGGCATCGTCGTCGTCCACGTCGTCGTCGTCGTCGTCCACGTCGTCGTCGACGTCTTCGTCCACGCCGTCGTCGTTAACATCACCGTCATCGTCGTCGTCCACGTCGCCATCAATCACGACGTCGTCGTCGTCGACGTCGACCACGTCGCAGCTGGCGCCCACGTCGTCCTCCACGTCGTCGTCGTCGTGACGGTCGTCCTCGTCGCCGTCGTCGTCGTCCACGTCGCCGTCGTCGTCCACGTCGTCATGGTCGTCGTCGTCGTCGACCATCTCGTCGTCGTCACGACGTCGCCGTCGTCGCCGTCCACGTCGTCGCCAATATCGTCGTCAATGTGGTAGTCTTCGGCGTCGTCCTCATCGTCCTCGTCGCCGTCGTCGTCGTCGCCGTCGTCGTCATCCACGTCGTCGCCCACGTCGTCCACGTCGTCATCGCCGTCGTCATCCACGTCGTCGTCGTCGTCGTCCACGTCGTCGCTGGCGTCGTCCACGTCGTCGCCTCGTCCACGTCGTCGTCGTCGTCGACCTCGTCGTTGTCCACAACGTCCGTGTCGTCGTCGTTCATGTTGTCATTCACGTCGTCCGCGTCGTCGTCGCAGTCGTAGTCCGCATCGTCGTCGTGGTCCACGTCGTGGCCATCGTCCCCGTGCACGTCGTCGTCAACGTCGTCGTCGCCCACATCGCTGCCAGCGTCGTCCACTTCGTCATGGTCGTCGTCCACGTCGTCCTCCACGTCGTCGTCGTCGTCGTCGACGTCGTAGTCGTCGTCGTCCTCGTCGTCATCGGCGAGGTCCCTGTGGGCGTCGTCGTCCTCGCCCGCGTCGTCGTCATCGTCGTCGTCCACGTAGTCGGCGTCCTCGTCAACGTCGTCGTCGTTATCGTCGGCGTCCACGTCACCGTCGTCCACGCAGTCGCCGTCGTCGTCGCCCACGTCGTCGTCGTCGTCCACGTCGTTGCCAGCGTCGTCGTCGTCGCCCACGTCATACACGTCGTCGTCGTTCACGACGTCGTCGTCGCCCACGCCGCCGTCAACGTCGTCGTCGTCACCCACGTTGTCCACGTCGGCGTCGTCGTCCACGTCGTCGTCCACGTCGTCCACGTCGTCGTCCACGTCGTCGTCGTCGTCGTTGTCGTCCTCGTCGTCCTCGTTAACGTCGACGTCGTCCACGTCGTCGTCCACCTCGTTGTCGCCCACGTGCTCGTCGCCGTCGTCAACGCCGCCGTCGTCGTAAATGTGGTCGTCCACGTCCGCGTCGTCATCCACGTCATCGTCAATGTCGTCGTCGTCAGCCTCGTCCTCGCCGTTGTCGTAGACATCGTCGTCCTCGTCCACGCCGTCGTCCTCGTCATCGTCGCCGTCGTCCGCGCAGTCGTCGTCGTCCACGTCGTCGTCGCCGTCCACGTCGTCGTCCACGTCCACGTCGTCGTTGTGCACGTCCACGTCGTCGTCGCCGTCGACGTAGTCGGGCTCGTCGTCGTCGACGTCCTCGTCGCCGTGGTCGTCCACATCGTCGTCGTCCGCGTCCATCGTCCGTCGTCGCCCACATCGTCGTCCACGTCGTCCTCGTCGTCGCCATCCTCCAAGTTAACATCGTCGTCCACGTCCACGTCGTCGGCCTTGTCCACGTCGTCGTCGTCGCCGCCCACATCGTCGCCGTCGTCGCCGTCCACGTCGTCGTCGTCCTCATGCAAATCGTCGCCAGCGCCGCACACGTCGTCGTCATCGCACGTCGTCGCCAGCGTCGTCGGCCACCC